TGCTCACCGGGACAGGAGGCAGCTGGGCCTCCAGGCAGCCCCCTAGCAGGTGGTGGCCTGAGGCCAGCTCCCGGGGTGCCAGGTTCACATGGCCCAGGGCAGTGGGTGACCTGGGGTTGCGGGAGCAGAAATGAGGACGGGAGGATGCCAGGCGGCCCCTGGGGAAGAGCTGTGTGCGGGACGCTCGCCCTGGCTGGAGGCTGTGCCTGTACTGGGGTACTGCAGCCTCAGCTGCTGCCCAAAGACGGATGTCAACTCCTTCCCTAAATAAAATAGTTTCTGCAAAAGTGTTTCTACACTCTTTCCACACAGTGTGTGTTCTCCGAGTGGCTTGTATGAAGCCACCGGCCTCTGCGCTCTCACCACAGGCTCTGGGGTCCATGGACGTGTCTCAGGGGTCTCTGTGTCTGAATCTCGGGGATCCGTGGCCCTGCACGCCCCAGACCCCCATCCACATTCACACATGTGACAGGCAGGAATGACCACACACACGACCCGCTGCACACACCTGCCAGCTCCCCGAACCCGCTGTGATCCCTGCCCAGCTTCCTCCTCCTCCTCCTCCTCACCTTCCTTCCTTGTTCTGATGCTTGAATGCTGGGAGAACTGACGTCTTCTGTCCTAAGATAACTGGATATGCAGCTTCAAGATCAGTGTCAAGAAAATGGGTCTCCAGTTTCAGAGATTTTTACGTTATGACATCTGCTGTGAAAGACACATTCAGCCGAACTCCAGGTGGTGTCACAGCTCACAGATAGAAAGGGGTGTGCAGGTCAGGCCCGCTGATGGTCTCTGGGGTGCTGGTGGCAGCCGTGATCCCCGGCACGTCTCCCGAGAGCCTCGCTGTGTTTCCTGTTGCCATTGTACTCAGACGCTCGTCTTCTCTTCCCACCTGGCTTGTCTTCGGAAACCTCTGTGTTCGGGTCTGGCTGTCCATAGCTGTGCTGCCAGGAACCCTGAGCTGGGACATTCTTGGGGGCTGTGGGGCAGTGTGGCTTGGAGGTGTCCCCTGGAGGCCAGCCTGATGCCTGCCTTTCTGGGGAGCAGCTCCCAACAGTGAGGCTAAGCTTCAGGAGTGCTGCGAGCCTCCATGGCGCTGTGAGGTCATGGCGCTGTCTGCTGCTGCTTCTCTAGGAAGTGACCACAGTCTGTCCCCTGCTAGCCAACCGGCTGCCTCATCATGGGGGCAAACGAGGTGGCAGAGGGACTTGGATGGGTTGTCAGATGGAGGACCCGGTGCTGCTCCTGCAAGAGTCTCTGCGCTTGGCTCCTCCTCTGGGAAGAATTCCTGCAAGTGTGCATTTCACAGAGACAGGGGAAGGGAGGAGGACGGAGCACAGGAAGGAGAAATGCCACGGAATGCTCAGCCACGTTTAAAATGGCGATGCCTCCCTGCCTGGCTCGGAGAGCCCTGGCCTTAGATCTGCGCCTCTCTGGCACCATCCCCCTCCTGAACCTTCCTCTCCTGCTGCAGAAGCAGAAAATGTGCAATGAAGAGACTGTCAAACATTCAGACGTTTGCCACCATGCGGGCATGGGCGTGTTAGGAGCCCCAGGTGGTGGCAGGCTGGGGGATGTAAGATGAGCGAGGAGTGATGGGAGCCCCACTGTCCCCAGGGATCGGCGGCTTCCCTGGGCTTGCCCTCTCTGCAGACGAGGTGATGCCACAGACTCATGGGACCAGCTTAGAAGCCTCAGTCCACGGGCCCCACCTCACCCGGCCCCCCTGAGCCAGGGTGGCTCCTTCCAGGAGGCACTCAGCTCATTTTAGATGGACAGACTTCGTCCCAGCCTCGTTTCAGCAGATCAGGAGGAACGTGGTTGCCCTGCCATTCTGAGGCAGCGCCTCCCCTCCCATAACCAGGCCCAGCCAACGGCTCCTTCTCTCCTTCCCAGCCACGCTGTCGCGACTCTGGGGGAGCACAGGAGAGAGCCAGGTGGTGAGCCCCACACTCAGGCTGCCCTGGCTGTGGTGCAGGGTGTGTGGAGGGCCTGCTGGAGACACTGCTGCCAGCGCCATGGCTGGACGTCCGGAGCTTGTGCAGGGGGCAAGCTGCCCGTGGTGTTCTAGAGGGAGCAGGGAGCTGCGTCAGCCCTGCCGACCCCCCACCACGTGGAAAGCCCACCTCTGCCCCCTCGGTGGCTGTGTGACCCCTGCCAACCCTCTACCATGTGGGAAGCCCACCTCGGCCCCTTTGGCGGCTGTGTGACCCCCTGCCAACCCCCTACCACGTGGGAAGCCCACCTCGGCCCCCTTGGCGGCTGTGTGACCCCTGCCAACCCCCTACCATGTGGGAAGCTCACCTCGGCCCCTTTGGTGGCTGTGTGACCCCCTGCCAACCCCCCACCACGTGGGAAGCCCACCTCGGCCCCCTTGGCGGCTGTGTGACCCCTGCCAACCCCCTACCATGTGGGAAGCCCACCTCGGCCCCCTTGGCGGCTGTGTGACCCCCTGCCAACCCCCTACCATGTGAGAAGCTCACCTCGGCCCCCTTGGTGGCTGTGTGACCCCCTACCATGTGGGAAGCCCACCTTGGCCCCCTCAGTGGCAGCTGTGACCTGTACCCGCCCAGAAAGCTCACCTTACTCCAATCTCAAAGTCTATTACAGGTTGTGGAGGAGGGTAGATGTGAGGCTAGGAATGGAAATGTTTGAGAGACTTTTCGGGGTCCAATGGATTTAAAAAATGCATGGCAGCGTCATGGAGGTTCGGGAGGAGGACGGTGGTTGTGGAGGAGGAAAATGGGATGGGGGAAGAGGAGGGAGGACTGGCTGGATCCCGCGGCTGGGTGGTCAGATGCGGTGGGACTGAGTTTTTAAAACGAGGCAGGAAAGCAACTACTATTTTAAAATAGTAAAACCTTCAAAAGGAGAAATAAGGCATGAATGTTTGTGTAGTGATGTCGAAGAGAATCACTTTATGAATGAAAATGATGCTTGGTTCAGTGGTGTATTTCCTGCCCAGGCTCTTTGCTGAAATTAAACATCCGCTGTCACTGGAGCAAGTCTCTGGAAACCTTTGTTCTCTTGGCTCTGTGAGCAGCTGCCTCTGCGCCACTGGGGCTTCTCTCGCATCTGGGGATGGTGGGAAGGGCGCCTGGCACCACGGACAGAGCAGGACTCGGAAGCCAGAGGTCACTGTGGGTCCCAGCCCTGCTGTGTCCAAGCTTGTGGGATCCTGAGTTTCATCTGAATCTTCCCAGATGGGTGGAAGAGCCTGCAGTCATCAAGAGCTGGGCACAGGGGGGCATCTGATGGGGTGAAGGCACCTGCGGGCATCACGAGCCGGGTGCTGGTGGGTGTCTGATAGGGTGGAGGAGCCTGCAGTATCCTGAGCCGGGCGCTGACGGGTGTCTGATGGGGTGGAGGCGCCTGCAGTATCCTGAGCCGGGCGCAGGCGGGTGTCTGATGGGGTGGAGGCATCTGCAGTATCCTGAGCCGGGCGCAGGCGGGTGTCTGATGGGGCGGAGGCGCCTGCAGGCCTCATGAGCCGGGCGCAGGCAGGTGTCTGATGGGGTGGAGGCGCCTGCGGGCCTCACGAGACGGGCGCAGGCGTGTGTCTGATGGGGCGGAGGCGCCTGCGGGCCTCACGAGCCGGGTGCTGGCGGGTGTTTGCTGTGCGGCTGCTGTCATCATCCGCATTGGAAAGTGGAGGCAGTGGTGGACTCTGAATTCTCCGGGAGCTGCCTGTAGGTAGTGTCTGTGAAATTGTGACACTGTGTCCACCCTAGGATTGCACTCCAGGATGCCTGGACGCCCTGGGAGCAAAGCCCTCCTCGTCACCTGCTGTAGACACATGGGCTGCTGCGTGCAGCATGGGGGACTGTCTGTCCAGCCACAGCTTGTGACTGGCCACCATCGCAGGCCCCTCTGAGCCTGGCTGTGCAGGACCTGTCTGCTGCTGTGGGGCTTCTTCCCGGCTCTCCCAGCCGCTCCCCACGTGGGAGGTCAGCTCAAGCCACACATAGCCACCCCGTGCAGCTGAGGGAGGAGAGGGTGGCAGCAGCGGTGACTTCAGCCTGCCTGGGCACTCTGCTGTGGCAGGTAGGGCATCGCCTCTGCAAGGCTCCTGGGCACAGGATGCATCTGACAGAGGGTGAGGCTGCAGCTGTGGCATTTGCAAACCTGAAATGGGGGTGTCTGGGGAAGGGGATTAGGAATGGCAGGTTCCACGGGCAACCCTTTAATACGAAAGATGAAATCAACCCTAAGGAACACAAATGGGGTTCCTCAAGGGCCAGAAGGCCAGGCAGCTCCCCTCCCGGCCCCTGGCCCCACGGAACAACTTACAGAGGGGCTGGGGAGGACCTCCAGCGGCTTGGACTGTCCTCTCTGTGGTTCGCCCAGCAAAGGCCTCTTTGGCACCCTGGGCCCTCACCTGCAGGAATCTCCTGCAGCAGCCAGCCCAGTCCCCCGGTGGCTCGTGCCCAGTGGAGGGAGCCACATCCCTCGGGCCTGAGCAGGTGTGAGGCTGCCAAAGTCCACGGCAGGGCTGCCTGCCAGGAGCTGCCCCGCTCGCTTCCTCCGGCCTCCCGCCGCCTGCCGCCCACTCATGGTCTTCCCTTCCTCTCCCTTCTGGTCAAAGCTGGCATCAAACTTTCTGTCCTTTTGATGCAAGTTTTAAAATTCTGAAATAATCCTCAGCCCATGCTGCTAATTCTAACTCCTGTATGCTGAAGTGTGAATTAATCACACATTCCCTCCCAAACTCCCAAGTCCCCATTGTGTGAGCCTGTTGCCTTCTGTGGGCTCTGTTGCCGCTGTGCAGAGATGTATTGTCTCCTAATCATTAGCGGGCCCTGCATTATTCTGTGTAATTGACTTGACATTATTTTGCTCCGAAATTTAATTCACTCCGGGTCTTAGTTTCAAATAAAGATTTGCATGATGCATAATTTAGAAAACAACAAAACCACAACACAAGCCTGCAGCGGCTCCCCCCACCGGTTCCCAGGTTCTTCAGCGGAGATCGGAGCGGCTTTGTTTTCGGGGGTGACGCTTGTGTGTGTCTGTGCTTTTGCAGTGTGTGACATTCCTCTGTATGACATTTGTGACTACAACGTCTCCAGGGACCGATGCAAGGAGCTTGGGTGCTGCTTCTACAAAGGCGTCTGCTACGAGAAAGTGGTTCCCAGTGAGTAGCTGCCCCGGCCACCTCAAGGCAGAAGCTGAGGTAGCCAGTGTCCACGCTGACCGCCGCCTGCCCGTCTCCCTTTCCCAGGGTCTCTGCTGGAAACGCCTTTGTGTTGCTCTCTGGCCACACTCTCCTCTCTGTGCTAGGGGGGCGGTAGACTCTGAGTGGGGCTTGACCTGGAGGGCCTGTGAGTGTGATTTAAGCTACCAGAGGGGTTGCATTCCCACACGGGCTGGCCAGGGCATGCATGGGGACTGATAGCGGAATCTGATTCCTCCAGATTCAGTGAGGAATCTGGCCGTTCTGGGTGGTTGCAAAGTTGGATTTGAGGAAACAGCGCTGCAGAAACCTGTGGTACAGGCAGGGCCCAGGCCAGTGGCCGGCTGTGCGGTGAGCCCATCAGGTGGAGCGGACCTTGTCCACTACTGGCGCCGTGAGGACAGCAGAGCCGCTTGGTCCTGACTGGGGACATGTGTGCTGCTTCAGTGTTGCACTAGAAGCCAGAGCAGACATGAGGATCTGCCGGCAGCCCCTCCAGCCCCTCAAGCAGCGCGAGGGTGAAGTGAGGACAATGGGCGCCGGTGGGTGGCATGCGGGGGCTGGAGGTGTTGCCACTCCCCATCCCCATGAAGGCTTCCGGAGGGAGGTGTGCCCCCATTCAGAGCCCACGTCTAGGTGTCAAATGTATTCAAAGGGAAGGGGGAGGAAGCACGCATGAAGGGCATTGGGTTCCCACCTCCTGCGAGGCACTGGCCTTCTGTGTGGTGGAGATCTTCGAATTTCCAAGCCCTCATCATGCACCATGGGAGGCTTCATGCGTTTCCTTGTCTCGTGAGGGCCCTTCTGGAAATGAGGGTGAAGGGGCTTTTTGCACTGTGGGGGGAGGGGGACAGGAGCACGGCAGCCCTCAGGAGGGAACGGTTCGGCCCTTACGGGTAGAGGCGCTGGATGGCGATGCCCTCTCACAGCTCCAGGCTTCCTTACAGCTGACTTCCAAACCCTCCCTGTCCCCCTTCTCTACCCTCAGCTCCCCAAAGTGAGGAGCGGCGCCCTGGCTTTGTGCCCCTCAGGGCCGTTTCTTCTTCCTCCTTTACTTCTTTCTCCTGCATTTCCTACTAGACTCAGCCCTCAGAGACCAGGCGCCAGGTCTTCGTTCCCTGCACCTAGTAGGGCTTAGAAAGTCAGACAGTGACTGATGGGAAAGAGCGACTGGTGGAAATTACTGAGTCGTGGCCTGCTGGTGTGACCAGTGTGAGCTCAGCCGCTCACCGCTTGCAAAGCCAGTAACAAGTGGAGGGAAAGTGACTTTATTTCCAAAGCGAGTGGCAGGGAGGTGCTGACTTGTGCTTCCAACTGCAGGCTGGGGAGAGAGGCTTCAAACCAGGAACTCAGCATGGGAGGCACGTGGGAGGGTTCTGCTGTGAAGTCTGAGGGTCTCTTCCTGGAGGGTGTCGCAAGCCACAGCCCACCCACTCTGAGGGCTGAGGCTCTTGTTCCGGTGGCTGTCTCTAGTTGTGGCCCGCCTGCACTGTGGGCTGGCGCCATCTCTGTGGCTGGTCGCAGACTCACCGCCTCCAGGTGACCTCTGGTATTGTGCAGCTCGGTCTCCATGCTTGGTCTATCTCAGGATGAGCCCCTAGAGCTTCTAAGTAAGCCCATGTTTAAATGCCAGCACACAGATAAATGTGCACGGGCTAGGGGGTGTGTGTTGCAAAGAAAGTACATTTCAAGGCTATATATGTATATATTTTTTCTTTTCTTTTTTGAGGCAGAGTCTTGCTCTGTCGCCAGACTAGTGCAGTGGTGCAATCTCAGCTCACTGCAACCTCTGCCGCCCTGGTTCAAGTGATTCCCCTGCCCCAGCCTCCCGAGTAGCTGGGACTACAGGCATGCGCCACCACACCCAGCTTTTTGTATTTTTTTGGTAGAGATGGGGCTTCACCATGTTGGCCACGATGGTCTCGATCTCTTGACCTCATGATCCACCCTCCTGAGCCTTCCAAAGTGCTGGGATTACAGGCGTGAGCCTCTGCGCCAGGCCTCCAAGGCTATATTTTAAGACTAAGGAGAACAAAAGTTTTCTGCAGTAAGCTTTCTGCATCGTGAGACTAGCAGAGGAGAGGAAAAAGAAAAACAAGTTTTAAATGCATTTTCAGGCTAGACTGCTTGATTACGTGGGGACTGTCCAGTCCTGTGGATGTAAAGCCCTAAGCCAGCTCCTGTGAGATTACAGGGATATTCCGGGCACAATAACAGTCAAGAAACAAAGCACTGATGGGATTCTGGCTTGCTGCAGTTAGGGCGTCTGTCCTGCTTAGTGTGAAGATTTGGCACCTCATCAAAAAAGATGAATTTTGGCTTCTCAGAGGCAAACGAGAGGTCACGATGGATACCACCAATAGTTGGGAAGTTTTCTGATGACAACGGCCCCTGCAGATTCTGGCTGTAGAGACTCGGGATCAGACTCCTTGCTGCCCCAGCCTCCGCTTCCAGGGACCCCTGGGATTCCCAGGGTCGCATGCCTTCCTCTGATTACAGATGAAGTCAGTTGGAAGTGGCTTCAGTTATTATTTTTATCAAGATACTATACCATAAAATTCACCCTTTTAAAGTATACAATTCAGTGGCTTTTAATATATTCACATTGCACAGTCTTCACCACTGATTCCAGAACATTTGCGCCACCCCAGAAAGAATTCTCACGCCCATTAGCAGTCATGTCCTATCCTTCCCTCGCTCTGGCCCCTGGCAGCCACTAACCTCTCTATGGATTTCCTTGTTATCGACTTTTCACGTGAATGGAACCACATGACTTGTGGTTCTTTCACTTACATAGTTCTCAAGGCTTGTCCATGTTGTAGCAGCTGTCCGTACTTGATTTCTCTTTACCGTTGAATAACTTTCTCTGCATAGTGTACCACATTTTGTTTAGCCACCTGTCAGTTTATAGACATTTGGGTTGTTTCCACTTTTTGGCTGATAGGAATGATGCTGCTCTGAACATTTGTATATACGTTTTCATGCAAACATGTTTGTGCTTCTCTTGGGTATATTCCTAGGAATGGAATTGCTGGATCATATATTGACTCTATGCTTAAACTTTTAAGGAAATTCCCAACTGTTTTGCAGGGTGGCTATACCGTTTGACAGTCCCCCAGCAACGTATGAGAGTTCCAATTTCTCCACATCCTCACCAACACTTGTTGTCCTTTTATTTATGGCCATTGTGTTGGGTGTGCAGTTGTATCTCATTGTGGTTTTGATTTGTATTATTCTAATGAATAAGGTTCACCACTATTGCTTTTTTTTCCTTTTTTTTTTTTGCTATTTGGATATCTTCTGGATGAAAAGTGTATTCAAGTCATTTGCCTGATTTTAAATTGGGTTAATTGTCTTTTTGTTATGGAGTCGTATGAGCTCATTGTATATTCTGGATATTAAGCTCTTATTAGAGATATGACTTACAAATACCTTCTATTCTCTTACATGTCTTTTCTTCTTTTTTGATAGTGTCCTTTGAAGCACTAATATTTTTAATTTTTATGGTGTCCATTTTATCAAATTTTCCTTTGGTTGCATGTGCATTGGTGTCACATCTAAGAAACCATTGCCTAATCCAAGGTTGCAAAGATTTATACCTGTAATATCTTCTAAAAGTTTTATAGTTATAACTCTTACATTTAGGTCTTTTGATCCTTTTTGAGTTAACCTTTGTGTCTGGTGCAAGGAAGGTTTCCAACTTCGTTATTTTGTGTGTGAATATCCAGTTGTCCCAACATCATTTGTTGGAAAGATTCTTCTTTTCCCATTAAATTGATACGCTTGTAGAGAATCATTTGTCCATAAAAGGGAGAGTTTATTTCTAGATTCTCAATTCTATTCTGTTCACCTATATGTCTAACCTTAGCCAGTACCACAGTTTTGATTAATGTAGCTTTGCAGTGAATTTTGAAATCAGGATGTTTGAGTGCTTCACATTCGTTCTTCTTTTTCAAGATTATTTTGGCTATTATGAGTTCCTTACATTTCCATATCAAATTTAGCTTGTCAATTTCTGCAAAAAAAAAAAAAGAGGTCTTTTGGCCATTTGATTGGGGTTGTGTTGAATCTGTGTACAGTTTGGGGAGTACTGACATCTTAACACATAGTAAGTGTTCTGGTCCATGGACAGGAGATGTCTTTCCATTTATTTAGTCTTTAATTTTTTTCAATGTTTTATAGTTTTCAGTGTACTTGAGCTTTTTAAATTAAATTTATTCCAAAGTATTTTGCCCTTTTTAATGTTATTATAAATGGAATTGTTTTCTTAACTTCATTTTCAAATTGTCTATTGCTAGCATCTAGAAATATAATTGATTTTTATATGCTGATTTTGCATCAGGCAACCTTGTTGAACTTGCTCATTTTATTAGTTTTATAGTTTATTCCTTAGGATTCTTTTTGCATACAAGATCATGGCATCTGAAAATATAGTTTTACTACTTTCTTCCTAATATGGATAGCTTTTAGCTCATTTTCTTGCCTAGTTTCTGACTAAAACCTCCAGTTCAATGATGAAAAGAATTAGAAAGAGCAGAAGCCTTATCTTGTTCCTGATCTTAAGGAGAAGCTGTCAGTGTTTCACCACTAAGTACAGTGTTAACTGTGGGTTTTCCTAGATGCCACGTATCTATTAATAGTAAATGTAAGAAACAACTTGGAAACACATGAGTTGAGAAAACTCCCTTCTCTTCCTGCTTTGTTGAGTGTTTTTACTGTGAAAGGGTGTTGGATTTTATCAGATTACTTTTCTGCATCTATTGAGCACCTTAATGGTGCTCTTTGTTACTTCATGTGGATTTGACTTACTGTCTACTCTTCTTTCATTTAATCCTAGAGGACTCCTTTTGGTATTTCTTATAAAGAAGCTCTGCCAGTGATGAATATTCTGACTTAGTTTACCTAGGATGTCTAAATTTGCCCTTCATTTTTGAAGCATAGAGTTGCTGTATATAAAATTG